AAATAAACGTAAATCATATGTTTATCACAAAAGAAAATTAATAGGGTCGTTTATCTCTATTAGTTGTTAATGAAAGGGCATGTGAAATTCATTTCTTTTTCATACTATTTTGCCGTGAAAACGTCGAGCTTTCTAAATCTACTGATTTTCCCTTGTGACTTCATCCCTATTTTTATTTTCATTCACCACTATATATTTTTGTTCATTGTTGACATATTCGTATTATTGGTCCTTAATTAATTTTAAAATCCTTTATTCCCACTTAAAAATATAATTACATGATATTATTCAGGTGATGTGCCATTACGGAGAATCTGTACCTCAATACTCTTAGATTAATGCCTTTTCGGATATTTTATTGATAAAAAACTTATTTTTATTTTTATTTTTGATTTGTACACGCAACAGACTATGTGAAACATACGACAATGCAAATAATGTTTGGACAAAAAACTTTGATACTGTATTTACTCAAAGAAGAAGGGATCTGAGGTTAATGGACACGGGGGCGACAAATAAATCGATTATCTCTTACAATGTTTTTATTAAATTCCTTAATTAAATGAATTTTATGTAACATTTTTTCACAAAAAATAGACATGAAATTAAAATTTCTGACATCACTATATTTTTAGCAAAGAATATACGTATTTTTACGACCTATATCATGTGATATAAACACAAAGGAAGAGTATTGACTTTATCTAACACTTTAATTAAGCACAAACTTTGTTTGTTAAATACTGTATTCGCATAATTTCATTCAAGCTCCAAAGTTAATGTTTGTCTAGTAATCCTTTTTAGTAGTAACTATGTTTTAAGATATAATCAAAATTCATGATTTAAACAAACACTAATGCTGTAGATACCGTAGCAACGATTTTTAAAGTCGATCTTATTGGATGATAAATGTAAAGGTTCTGAACAGAACCTGAGTTATGATCGACCGGTTGTACAGAAATTATAAAATGTTATAAAAATACGCGTGAGACGCCACGAAAAAAACAGAGTTAAGTAAACAATGCTCAAAGATTTAATCGTAGAAGTTAAGATTAACATCTTCCAATACGTTCCGAATATATTGTGTCTCGCCTTAACATGCAAGGCGTGGGCAGAAATTATGCGAGATCCCCATGCCAGAGCTAGATGGATCTTGAGAAAATATGGACGATCATATGCCTTATTCCATAGTATACGTTTAGGACCTCAATTTATTAACGTAAGCGTGGTTCAATCGTTGTTTGCAAATAATGTCATCCTTTCTCGGTATTTCATTCAGAGATTGGTTATGCACTTTGGAGAGTACGATTCCAAGCTCACCGAATTAAAAGCTGCGCAGAATGGTTGCGCTGTGGAAACAAATAAGATTAGAGATTTGACAAAACGAAATCTTCACCCTTGGGCCAGTAATCTTCCAGTTGACGTTTTTGTGGCTATATTAAACGAA